ACTATTGCTTTGAAGAGCTGATCTGGCCTCATTTCTCCTGCAATAGTTATAGTCTGATACACTCTTTGGGCCTTTTGTGAAGGGTATGTAGGCCTGCACTGTTTGAGGAGGGTGATCTTCTACAAATGTATGACAGTTGATTGCTGTGATACCCCAATATCGATTCTTTTAGATTCTTTGAGAATTTTTGATATGGCATTACAAGTTTTAGTCAGGGTTTTTAGCTAAGTAAAATTAATAGAGCTAGCCTTTCCTACTTTCTTTCAAAGTTAGTAGGCAGTTTGTAAAGCCATCTTGTAGCTATCAACCCTTCTTCAGGGTTTTCTCTTTCTATCCAGAAGCTGAAGCAGCCGAGTCAGCACTGGATTCCTGCTCACCTCATTGTGAGTGTTCGAAGTTCTGCGGTGTCCCTTAGCTTTTACCCAAGGATAGGAACTTTCCTTTCTTGCTTGAGATTAGGAAACTCCTTTATATTTGTTTTTGTTTGCTTGCTTATTTTCAGCCCTTTAAGATCTCTTTATCATTTAGCCTAAACAAACAAACAAAAAACAAAACTTGCCAGATCCACTCCCACGAAACACAGATGGCTTACTACACATAAATCAATACATGTAGCATAGCATATTAATAGAATCAAGAACAGAAATTACTCGATCATTTCAACAGATAAAGAAAAAGGCATTTGACAAAATCCAACATCCCTTCATGATAAAAGCCTTGAAGGAATATATTTCAAAACAAAAAAGGCCACATACCACAAAACTTCTGCCTACATTAGGCTAAAAGGAGAAAAACTCAAAGTTTTAAAATTAAACTGAAAGTTTCCAAATTAAGTCCTCTAAAAGCAGGAACAAGAAAATGTTGTTTAATCTTTCCACTCTTACTCAATATGGTATTTAAAGTCTTAGCTATTGTAATAATACATGAAAAGGAGATAACAAGGAAACAAATAAGAAGGCAAGAATTCAATGTGTACTTGCATGCAGAAGACATTTTTCTATACATACAAGATGCTGGATGTGATGATTGTAACACTGGGGAGGCAGATGTAGGCCAATATGTGTGAGTTAGAGGTCAGCCTGGTCTCTACATGGCAGTTTTAGCCCAGTTGGTACTGCATAGTGAGGCCTTGTCTCAAGCAAGTAAGCAAATAAGCAAGTAAGTTTAAAGACTCCATCAGAAAACTCAGAACCAATAAACACTTTTAGTAACACTGCAGGTTACAAAATTAACATACAACATCAGCAGCCTTCCTATATACCAATGGCAAACATGCAGACAAAGAAATTGGAGAACACACACACACACACACATACACACAATTATATGCTAAAACAAACAACAAACAAACAAATTAGAATAGAGCCATGAAATGTAGTGAAAGATCTCTTCAACGAAAACAGAAAAAAAATCCCAAGAAATACTAGAAGATATGCCATGCTCATGGACTGGAAGAATTAATATTGTAAAGATAGTGGCACTTCCAAAATTAAGCTCCAGATTCAATGAAGCTACCAATTAAGTTCCAGTGGCATTATTCTTAGAACAGAAAAAACAATCTTAAAATTGGTTTGCAAACACAGAAGATCCAAGATAGTCAAAGAAATCTTGAGCAAAAAGAATAATGCTAAATGTATCACATATCTGATTTCAAGTTATGCTACAGGACTATGGTAACTAAAACAGCTGTATTCACACAGAACAGTCATGATCTATGGAACCAAACACATAGATTCTCACACAGCTACAGCTACCTTTTTTAAAAAAAATATGCTAAAAACGAATAATGTGGAAAAGACAGCCTCTTCTTTCAAAAGTTCTGCAGAACCTAGATATCCACCCACTGAAGAATGAAACTAGAACTTGTACAAAAATCACCTCCAAACAAACCCAAGGCCTGAATGAAAGACCAGAAATCCTAAAACTGTTAAGGAAAAAGTAAGACTCATACTTTAAGACATGGGCATAGACAGGGACTTCCTCAACTGAAATCCAGTAATGCAAGAAATAACACTATTGATAAACTGGACCTAATGAAATGTAAAAGCTTGTGCACAGAAAAAAAGACTAATCAAGTGAAGAGGCAGTCTACAGTAATCTTTGTCAATTAAACACCAAGCAGAGGATTAGTATGTAGAATATACAAAAATTAAAAACAAAACAAAACACACAGACAATGAGAAATCAAACAACCCAGTCAATAGATGGGCTAATGAAAAGAACAGGCAGGTCTGAAAAGTTGAAGTAATTATAGCTACCAAGCATGTACAAGTGTCCAACATCAATGAAAGACAAATAAAAATTACTCTGAGATTCCATCATTGCTGAATCAGGATGGCATAAACAAACAAACAAACAAACAAACAAACAACAAGGAGAGCTAGCAAGTGGTTCAGAGGTTAAAAGTACTTGTCGTACAAGCCTGAGGATCCCAAAAAGGAAGGAAACAACCAACACCTCCATGTTCCCTCTGACTTCCACATGCTAACTGTGGCAGGTATGTACATGAGTACACACAAGCATATACTGTTACTACCTACTACTTATAATAATAAAAAAATTCTAAGTGAGTAAACTAGGTAAGGTGGTACAGACTTGCAGCTTCAGCACTCAGGAAGCTGAAACTGGCAGATCACTACAGCACAGGAGTTCAAGGCCAGCATGGAAAACATAGCAAGAAGCCCATCTTAAATGAAAAAAAGTGAAACAAATCAAGCAAAACAGAAGAAAGAAAACAAAAAAACTTCAAAGAATACAAAAGAAAGAACAAGAAAAGTGATCAAAAATAAAACCAAAGGCAACCAACATTTACTGAGAAAATTAAATCATAAGGCTAGGGAAATGCCTTAGTGGTTAAGGCTGGGAACTACTCTCGAAGAGACCCTGAGGTCAGTTCCCAGCCCTCCTGTCAGGCAGTTCACAACAACTTCCAACTCTAGTTCCAGAGCTTCTGCACGCATGTCCTATACCCACCCCTCAAAACACACATACACACCACACACACACACTTAAAAATATTAAAAATAAATCTTTTTAAAAAAGAACATTAAATCACCTGCTAGATGTTTCTTCCTTAATTTATAACACAGGTTTTTTATTTTTTATTTTTTTATTTTCACCTCAGTGCTGTCATCCCTCTGTGTGGCCAATGTGTCCAGGCTGAGTCAGGGGGAACATGTAGACATTGGTTTATTTCTGTCTCTTGAGCACTGGGAAATCCCAACAGGTTTGCTTTATCTTGTGACATCACCCTCCGCCTTTTCATAAAGTGGGAGGATCTTAAGACTAATAGCCATCCTACAAGGTTTCTCATATAAATAGAGAATTCTGCTGAAGTTTCTGATCTAATAACCCACATGTTAAACATCTCTGCTTGACGTTTACTTAATGAACTCCTTTTCTTGATGTTGTAATAACAAAACAGACTCTGATTACTCTGAACTTGATCATCTTTTCTGGCCTTTGTTAACAAGTTTTCATAACACAGAGCATATAACTTAGTTGTTAATCTTAGTTGTTCTACTATACAAAGCAACTATCAGCATTTCTGCACCAAGGTGACATTTGCTATGATCAAGGTGACACAGGAAACTTAGGAACAGACTCAGAGTCACACTAGAGTTAACGTTCCATGCTTTCCTCTCACCCCTCCATCATTCTCAGTGTCTGCTAGCCTAACAGCAGTTCTTATCTTGCTGCACATTGCAATTCTGTGGGAACTGGTCTATATACCTCATTCAGTGAGCCTCAGTGTTATCATGTCAATGCCACAAAGTAGCTAACTTGCAGTTGAATTGTTGATGTATGCTCTTACCATTCAAACCGGAGCTTTCAAAAGCGCCCCCTGAGCAACCAGTTTAGCCAAGAGCTTTGCAGAAGACCTGGAAAAGACACTTCAGTATCCGCTGACAATTCTCACCATGTGGCTTATCCACAGAATGAGAAATAAAATGCTCCCTGTGCCAAAAGGCTATTGTGGGGTTAAAATGAGATGCTTTGTAAGCATTGTACCCACCATACAGCAAGCACTCAGGAGATAATACTCCTGTTCTCAGGCTGAAGAGGAAAAGAACACTACTGCATTTTTTTTAAGGTCGTTGTTAAAACTCAGGTAGGTAGCCTGGAGCTTGATCTCTCTCTTTAAGCATTCATCTAGTGCCACTGAAAGATTAATTTGATTAAAGCAAGGTGCCTTCTCTTTGTTTGATATACTCGTAAGTATCTCTCCAATTTTAACTTTAAAGGAATGAAGTGGGTTTTCTATTGGCTATAATGCCCACCAAGTGTAGTGTGAAAAACGGATGTTCAATTCTTATTTCTATCTTAAAAAACAACAACAAATGCTGTTGCCGTGTGCAGAGTACTAGAAACTTCCAACGGCAAAGGAAACCAGATCTCCTCTGAGATTTAGTGGTTACATATTGAAAGCAGTGATGGCAAGAATTTGGTAGAGAACAAGCCAGGTGCACTAGCAAGAAAGCGAGCCCAATACTGAGAAATCACTTGCAACACTTACTGTTCTAGGAGGATTCTTCTCCTCTTAAAGTTAGACTGAAGTTCAGAGTTTGCCATCCTATCTAACTAACCACGGAGACATTCAAGAACCATGAGGCGTGACTCAGAGTATTCTGCTGTGCCTAACAAAGGGATAGGATAACTGAAGACTCATTGAATCAGGGGTCAGGATGCACAGGAAAAGGGGAGCTACACCTATTCCTCACCGATGGAGAATGGGAATCCAAACTCTCCCTCTTTCCTCCCTCTCACCTCTTCCAAACAGCACCTCACTCGAAGAAGTGATCCCCTGCCTCAGTCTAGGCACACTGGGCCTAGGCACAATTGGTGCAGAGGTGTGTGTGGCTCCCCTCCCCTTTATACCTTGGTCGAGGGCACCAACCACTATCCTCAGCCCAGCCTGTGAGGCTCAGTCTGAGGGTCAGTCAGTGCCCACGGGTGAAGGGAAGTCGGTCACTGAACCTCAGACCTCAAGGTCGCCTTACCGGGTTCCTCCGCACTCGCCTGGTGCCTCCACTCACCGGAGCTCTTCCCACCTACAGGATGTGGAGAGGGATCCCCGCACCGGCCAGCCTAGAGCAGCGCCATCGCTGGGGTCACGCGGCAGCGTGGTCCTCCGGTGCAGTAGCAATGGCAAGTGTCCAGGCAGGGGTGCCCCGCCCTCGGGGAAGTCCCCCCTGCGCTCTCACCACCCCCGCGGCGAGCCGCAGAGGGAGGGCTTAAAACTAAGTGAGAAGGGCACCAAGGCGTGTGACCCCAGCTGTCAGCGCCCAGAGTGCTTAGTGTGGTTCTGAGAAAAGAGGGAACTCTTTGCCACAATATGACAAGGCTGACGCGCGAACCGTCCACTTACCAACCCATTAACTAGCATCTCATTTATTTAAAGGTGCCTTTAAGGACATATAAAACAGAAAGTGGACTTTAAACAAAACACACTAAATAAACTATTTCTTATTTGTGTTCACATTGAGAGTCCAACATGATTAACTAAACTTTTTCCTTCCTTCATTATCAGTAAATGAACATAACACAATTTCATAAGCACGTGCGTTGCTGCTGTCCCAGCCTCCCCCCTCAGCCCCCCACCCCCTTGTCACCAGCACTACTTAGACCCCAGCTTTTCTGCTTCCTAATTTGCCAGGCGTTAAAATTGAGAAAAGTGCACATGTAGAACACACAACTTGAAAAATATATGTACCACATGTAATTTACATTCTCTAGTAAGTTATTATGCAAGGACTACAAACAGCTTTTTTTTTGTTTGTTTGTTTTTTTTGTTTTTGTTTTTAGAGACAAGGTTTCTCTGCATAGCCCCTGGCTGTCCTGGAACTCACTCTGTAGACCAGGCTGGCCTCGAACTCAGAAATCCACCTGCCTCTGCCTCCCAAGTGCTGAGATTAAAGGCGTGCACCACCACCGCCCGGCTACAAACAGCTTTAAATTTTCAGATCAACACTCCTTTGTAACAAGATAGCTCAGAGCTGTGGAAATCCTTGGTATAACAAAGTTAGCCGAATTGTCTCAGTCAAAAGTAAATAATGTAAACCAGATGTAGTGACTCTCACTTGTAATCTTGGGCAGGAGGGCTTTAGTAAACTCTTGGCCTGCTTGAGCTATGGAGTTAGGATTAAGTCACTAATTATTTTTAGAGTAACAAATATTTCAAATTTGCTGATTTTTCTGTAATATAAGATTAAACATAATATACTACTATTTTCTGCAAAATATTAAAAAGCCCAAATTTATAGGTTTAGTGGTGACAGCTAAGTAATATATACACCAAGTAAGAATAAGCTAAATAAATAATGAATAAGTAAATACATAGTAGCTTCTGGTTAGTTGATATCTAGTTAATGATATCAGAGATTATATGATATTAAAATTATAGTGGCCAAATATGAATGATAACCTTGTGTGCTTTATGGGTTAGGTTATTTTTCAATAGCTTTATTTAGCTTATTAACTATTCACATATGCATATGTAATAAAAGCAGCTGAACATATATTAGAACTGGCTTTTAAAATCCCTTTTTATTTTCTGAAGGTATATAGAGTCTAAAATGGTGAAAGACCACTGGTTACCAACCTCCATCTACAGTACATTACATGACTACTATCACATGCTAACTGCTTTAAATATTCCTGAGACATTTTATTTACCTCAGAGTAAGGCATGAAAGTTTAAGGGGCAAGTTTAAATTTGATTGTGAAGCAAGAACTTCAACTATTGAGAATACAGCCTTCTTTGGTTTTTATGTTTCTCCAGAGGCAAATCAATAAGATGATCTTTCTACTATAACATAGAAGAATGTTTTCAGTCTATCTCTGTCAACTAATTTAGGGTTCAGCTTAACTAAGAACTTGTGCCAATAGCTATGCATAAGAGTGGCTCTCTCATGTTCTCACTTCCTAGGTTTTAAGTTCCTAGAGCACAGGGGTCCCGTGTGCTGTGTCTGCTCTCCTGCCTCTAGCAACTGGCATAACGGAAGGCAAAGGATGGGAAACTCACTACAATTTTACCCTGTTGAATTAGCTCTTTTCCAAAAGAGCTTGTTCTCTTGGAATTAAACAGTTTATAGGTATTTAGAATTTTCAAAACTTTCTTCTCAAGTCTGTGACCAGTTTCACCAGTGCAGAGCTTCTATGCTCCCTCCCTCCATTCTCCTCCCTTTGAAGAGCAAGACAGTGGAGGCGGCTCCTGTAAGGTATCAGGAGCCCAACATGTCAACCAAAATGTCAGCCTATGCCTGAGATATGGCCTTCTGCAAATGAGAAAGTCAGCTAAGGGCATAACCACAGTGACACTGACAGAGGCTTTTCTAGGAAACAGTTCAGTTTCCATTTCTGGCACGCTTTTATTCCTTCAAATGTCTACCTTGCTTCACTGTTGACACCCAGCATCTTGAATGTTCTTACTTGGGCATTCTAAGAGTAACTGGGACGTCCTCTGCTTAAAGTGCCCCTAGGTAAATATTAAGAGGTAGTTGTCAACATGGAAATTGCAAATATTAGATAGTGCTGCTACTAATTAAACGTGGCAAGAAGGTGTGGTGTTTGAGTAAGAATACCCCATAGGGAACTAACTTTCGAATGTATAAGCCTATGAGGGCCTTCTCATTGAAACCATCATAACTTGTGTCAACACAAGTTTAACATTTTAAATACAAAGAGACCCAGATCTAAAATTAACCACTCTTTTTGGTGTCTTGCTTTCAGCAAGTTTTATTTTTAACAGTACTCCCTAAATTATTGGTTTCACTTACCACTCCAGTATGTTAAATCAATGTAACTCTTTAATATACTTATGGTATCAAATGTTGAAAAGGATATATATGTATAATGTATAGTGTATAATGTATAATGTATATGTATATGATATATATGTATGTATACATACACATATATAGTCTAACATTATACATATATGAAAAATCTTACAGTCTAGTAAATCCCAGTGTTAAAATATAGTATAACTTCTTTTAAATTAATTTTTATATTATTGTTGTTTTTGAGACAGGATTTCCCTGTGTAGCCTTGGTTGTACTGGAAATAGTTCTGTAGATCAGATTGGCCTTGAACTCACAGAGATACTCCTGTTTCTTCCTCCTGAGTGTTAGGGTTAAATGTGTATACCATCACAGTCAGCTTATTTTATTTTTTAATGATTAATTTATTTCTATTTTACGTGCATTGTCATTTTGCCTGTTGGCCACTCTTCCAAGTTTTGCAGCTCCATTGTGTATGTTGTGTCATGGCTGCCCCCCTTGTCTTGCAGGCAGCAGCATAGATCGCATATCAAAGATCTGTGGCTGGGTTGATGTCCCCTCCCACCACTGGAATACTTGCCTGGTTACAGAAGATTGCTGGGTCAGGCTCCATATCTTGCATTACTAGGAGTCCTTACTAGGGCCATCCTGGTAGAGTCTTTGTAGTTTCTACAGCCTACATTTCCACATAGCCTCTCAATTTCCCTCCAATTTCAGTCGTCTTTCCCCTTAATTTCTCCCCCTGTCCTTTCCCACTACTTGATCCTATTCTGACCTGCTGTCAGACCACCTGTAAAATCTATTCTATTTCTGCTTCCAAGGAGATCCACACATCCCACTTAGAGCTCTCCTTGTTACTTAGCTTCTCTGGGTCTGTGGATTGTAGCATGAGTGCCATTTACTTAAGAGCTAATATCCACTTATAAGTGAGTACATACCATGTTTGTCTTTCTGGATCTGGATTGTCTCACTCAAGATGATCTTTTCTAGTTCTGTTCATTTACCTGCAAATTTCATGATGTATTTGTTTTTAGTAGCTGAATAATATTCCATTGTATAAATATATCACATTTTCTTTATCCATTCTTCTTTTGAGGGATATCTAGGTGCTTTCCAGTTTCAGGTTATTATGAATAAAGCTGCTATGAAAACAACTGAGCATGTATCTTGGTTGTAGAATGGAACATTATTTGGGTATATGACCAAAAATGGTGTAGCTGGGTCTTGAGGTAGTTCAATTCCCAGTTTTCTGAGGAAATGTTGTATTGATTTCCATAGTGGTTTTATAAATTTACACCCTCACCAGCAATAAAGAAGTGTTCCTTTTGCTCCACATCCTCACCAGCATGAGTTGTCACTTGTGTTACTGATCTTAGCCATTCTGAAAGATGTAAGATGAAATCTCAAAGTAGTTTTGATTTACATTTCCCCGATAGGAACATTTTTAGGTGTTTCTTTGCCATTTGAGAATCCTCTGTTTAGATAGGTACCCCTTTTTTAAAAAATTGGATTATTTGATTTGCTGATATTTAGTTTCTTAACTTCTTTAGATATTTTGGATATTAGCCCTCTCTGGGCTGTGGACTGGGTGAAAAACTTTTCCCTTTCTATAGGCTGCCATTTTGTCCCATTGACAGTGTCTTTTATCTTACAGAAGCTTCTCACTTTCATGAAGTCCCATTTATTAATTGTTGATCTTAATGCCTGCTCTATCAGTGTTTTGTTCAAAAAGTTGTCTCCTGTGCCAACATATTCAAAGATATTCCCTACTTTCTCTATCAGGTTCACTGTATCTGGCTTTATGATGAGGACTTTGATCCATTTGGACTTGAGTTGTATGTGGGGTGATAAATATGGATATATTTGCATTTTTCTACAGGCAGACATCTAGTTAGAACAAGACCATTTATAGAAGGTGAATTATTTTTTTTGTTTCTTTTTTCCCCATTGTGCCTTTCTGGTTTCTTTTATTTAAAAACAAAACAAAACAAAACAAAACAGGTATCCTTAGGTGTGTAGATTTGTGTCTGGGGTTTTTTTTTATTAGATTTCATTGATCAATATATCTATTTTTAGGTTAATGTCTTGTGTTTTTTATTACTATATCTCTGTAGTACAGTTTTGAAATCAGGGATGATGGTACCTCTGGAAGTTCTTTTATTGTTCAGAATTGTTTTAGTTATGCTGTATTTTGTGTGTATGTGTATGTCTCCATATGAAGGTAAACATTATCCTTTTAATATCTGTATAGAGTTGCATTGGAATTTTGACTAGGATTATGTTGAATCTGTAGAATGCTTTTGGTAGAAAGGTCATTTTTACTATGTTG